CAAACAATTTTGAGCCCAAATATACTACTGCATGGTCGACGGTGTTGCCCTGCATTTTATGGACGGTGAATGCCCATGACAAAACTAAGGGCAACATCCTTTTTTCAGCCGTATCATAATTGAATTTTGCTGGAAACTGTATGGCTTTAGGGTAAATAACGTGCATGCCGTCTGTGCCAAAGTCAATTAAAACTGATGATATATCTGTTTCGTACATCTGGGTTCGACGGAACTGAGGCCAAAAAATTTCTGTAATGTGGCCTATAGCGTCATTTAACAATCCTTTTGTAACGTCAATGTTGGACCGCAACATTACTTTTGCACCTACAAATATTTCAAGTACCTCCAGGTAAGCCTCCAGTCTTATTTATATTTGTTGGTATTTTTTGTTTATTGTTACCATGTTGTTCCCACGATTAAGGGGCATTTTGACGGTCGACCCCCGCAGTCCAGTAAAGGGACAAGGCTTAATATACAACAAGATGCGCCCAATCTTGAGGGGGAAGCGCTTACGACATTACATTTTTATCCACCCTAATGCCAAACAGTCCTCGGCACGTTTTAACCTATTACCATAACTTGGGTGGTATAACTACCGCTTACTAACGAGGTATCTAATTACCTATTTTTTTTATCTGCCCCTCTAACGTCACACAATCTTAGACGCAACTGTTCTCGATACGACTAATCATGCCCCCACCTAATACGCCATTTTGTAACGGCGTATATCTTGAATTTGATATTTTGACATAATCATCGTGTTTTACTAGTGTAGCCCTTTCATTTGATACCCATATTGCGGGGGTTAAGGAAAAATATGTAATCCGCCATTTTGTATCGGCGGCCATCTTAGATTTATAATGTTATTGATTTTATTATATTGTATTGTCATCTAAATTAAATGTGTGTACCAAATTTCAGATCAATCTGACAACGGGAAGGTGCTTAAATTCCAATTTCTAATTTTGACCCAAATAAATAAATACCGTACGGGTCGAGCTAAATAAAACCGTTTAAAAAACTACTTATTGCAAATCAAAATCTATATGTAAACATACAATATTTTCAATATAGAAAATCTAGGAAAAAAGATATTGTAGGATATATCCGATACGTGTCATCGTTTAAAGGTTTGTTCACTCTAATTATGTTTGTCCAAACATTTTAAGAGCACGTAACCCAGATTAGGTAATACACTGATATTGAGCACACAAACTAGGTATATATACATTTTTTTTTATACAACTTAGAATGGCAAACAAGCTGACGGCCCACCTGATGGAAAGTGGTAACCGTCGCCTATAGACATGAGCAGTACCATAGACATAACAAAGTATACTGTTCCGCCCATGATACCCCCCATGCGTTGCCATTCCTGAGGACTCAGGTGTTATTACTCTGTACCCAGTAAATTCACGCCATATCCCACCCTTCAAACCGAAACACAGCCATGCAAACACAACTGCTTCACGGTTGAAACACGAATGGAACAGACAGAGACAAAATAAATCATATAAATGTATTTACTGTATACTAAAATAGCTAAACTACGGCTACATCATCAATTATATTGCTAGCGTGTTAAAGTGTGCTTTCAACTGTTATACTCGTTTGACAAACATGTCATTTGTCACATGTCACGCGGTGTAAACGAAAGTGTGGGAAGGAAATAAAATACGTTATATTGTAGATGTAATATAATATTTACAAATATATTTTCCGAGCTTGTTTTTGGGATTCGCTGCATGTAATTCTAGTGGGAGATCGGGATTGTTTTATTATAAATCTTTTGTTGTTTTTAAATTTAACAAAACTTGGTAATAATTTAGATACTAGAGGGAGACTTTGTATAAAAGTCGTTTGCTTGGGCACCTCTGTTCCATCCATGTTTCTATTATGAAACAACTATGTTTGCATGGCTATGTTTCAGATTGAAGGGTAGGATATGACAGTGAATTTATAGCTTACAAAAGAATAACACCTGAGTCCTCAGGAATAGCAACGCATGGGGGGTATCATGGGCGAAACAGTATACTCTATTATGTCCATGGCACTGCTCATGTCTATAGGCGACGGTTACCATTTTCCATCAGGTGAACCGTCAGCTTGTTTGCCGTTCTAAGTTGTATAAAAAAAATCAATATTCGCATCTCAGCTACATACAGTCGTATATATATATATATATATATATATATATATATATATATATATATATATATATATATATATATATATATATATATATATATATATATATATTTGGAATATGTAAACAAATATATTAAAATATGGTGATCAAGATCTATATCATAACTATTTTATTTTTGGCACTGCGGGTATCCTGTCCGTTAAATATAATATTCGATTATTTCCTTCATGTAAATACTGAGTAAACACTCTTAAACAGGTACAAAATGTTTATACATGACCTCTCCTGATGATCTAGTTTGCAACCAACCGTGTATATCTCGATACGGAATCTCTTTGTTCCAAAAACAAATCGTCGCATCGATTCATTCATAACGACCTATTAACATTCTATTGCCAGGTACGAATCTCACTTGACAAAAAGAGTATATTTTTATTAGTATTTTAGCTATTAACTGGCCATTGCTGAACATAAGTCTTGCCCATAAGAGTTTTGCTATTAGTTGCCATGTTTGACAGGCGGGTTGGCAATCACAGTTAGGCTTTGAAAGATATTTTAAATGAGACGTTACTGCCCATCCTTCGACTATAAGTTCCCTTAGTCGCCTCTTACGACACCCACGTGTCTGGTCACGTGGACCTCTCTCCATTAGCAGAATTTAAATTTAACAAAACTTGGTAATAATTGAGATACTAGAGGGAGACTTTGTACAAAAGTCGTTTGCTTGGGCACTTCTGTTCCATCCATGTTTCTACTATGAAACAACTATGTTTGCATGGCTGTGTTTCGGTTTGAAGGATGAGATATGACAATGAATTTACAGGATACAGGGGAATAACACCTGAGTCCTCAGGAATGGCAACGCATGAGGGGTATCTTGGGCAAAACAGTATACTCTGTTATGTCCATGGTACTGCTCATGTCTATAGGCGACGTTTGCCACTTTCCACGTAGGCCGTCAGCTTGTTCGCCATTCTAAGTTGAATAAAAAAAAATATTAAAAAAGACACCATTCGCCTAATGAAGAAGACTTCCAGATAAAGTGAAAACAATTGTTGGAAACAACAAACGTAGTAATTTCGTTAAATTGCACGTAAACAACAATATAGTTTACCTTTAAAAGGTTGCTAACGATGTCAGTTTCACTATGTGTACTCAAGTTTAATCAATGGTAAAACATTACTGTGTAACAGCCCGGCAAATAATACCTATAGTAAATGTAAAATTATACCCATTACAGCGTTCGGAATTATACGTAAATTCCGTTGTATTGGAAACGTACAAAACGTAATTATTTTTTAATATAATCTACGTATCAATTTTAGGATTCCGTAAAATATATTATTGTGTGATATCAATTACTCGCAAATCTTTTAAACCGTAATATATATTTATGTACATGTCGTATAGTCTATGTATAGAATAGATCACCTCTTCCTTGCCCGTGAGTGTCGTAAGAGGTTACTAAGAGAACGTTAAGTTCTCTTAGTCACCACTTGTCACTTGTTTGAGGGTTGAGCAACAGTGCAACTTTCAAAACATCACCGAACCCTAACTGCGGTTGCCAACCCGTCTGCTAAGTGTGGCAACTACTGGCAAAACCCTATAGGTATATCGTAGTGTTTTATAGACATATAATATATTTCAACATTTGTTTTATTTATTTATTTACTCTTTATTGCGCCATTGATAAAAAATAAAAAATACAGTAATTTTTAATGAGAAGTGATACAAAAGGCGGCCTTATCGCTAAGCAATCTCTTATAGACAACCTTTGGGCAGAGGACATTGAGAAAAAAACAAAGGGTTGGTGGCACACTATTATATGTATTATTTTTGTTTTATATATTTATTTTAATAGAAATATAATATTGTATATATTTATATTTATATATTGAAAAGTTTTTTTTAATAAAATTTTACTTATTAAATTATTTTTACATCATCATCATCAAATCAGCCTTTAACTGTCCACCGGTGAACATAAGTCACCCTCTTGGTGAAATTTGCCAGTAGTTGCCACGCTTGGCAGGCTGATTAGCAACATATATTATAAATGTTCGATATTTTATATTAGTGCCTGTGTTTTTACATAAATTCTCTTTTTCTATATTTTTTATTTATTTTATCATTAAATAATTCACATACATTATAATAACATTTATCAATTAGGATTTTTTTTTATTTATACTTAAATACATACATTAGTTGGAGCATCCTTTATAGATTTTGGTATTTTATTAAAGCCACGTTGATTGGTTAATTAAATAAATAAATAAAAATAAAAATAATATAAATCATATACTGTACTGTAAATAGTAGATTATAGCTAAAGATTCAAAAAAATATTTTTTTAGCAGTATTATATTTGAATTATTCCGTGATAAACATTTTACGTATTGGTCCCATAACAGACGTGTAGGTTCCGACATAGAATTGACCACCCCCTCCTTTCCCGTGGGTGTCAGAGGCGACTAAGAAAGCTTATGGTGGAGGGATGGGCAGCAGCGCCCCTCTTAAAACAGCTAACTATAAGAAAAGGAATAGGCACTTATTTATCAAACAGATTAGTTAGAAATGGCCTGTCGCGTCCCACTGTTGGGTAAAGGTCTTCCCCAACTGCTTCCACCTCCCACGGTTGCTGACCATAGTGTCGATCCGGTCGAATAGGTAAATAATACGAAATGTTAACATTTCCAGCAATTTTTTTTTAATACGGAACTCTTGTCTTTTTTAGTTCAACTGCCGCTGATCAATTATATCTATCGCAATTATTGTAAAATTGTACAAATGTTTCCAAAAATACATGTCGTTTGCATAAACAGCATTTTGATTTCACATTGACAGTACAATGGGTACGAAGGAATAGTCCTGTGTTCTCTATTGTTCGTTTTTTTTTTAAAATAAATAAATAAATAATTATTATTTATTACAAAATGTCCTCGAAACGACTACTGCTACTGCTCATCGGCTGGCTATGTGTTTACACTATATATGTAAGTTGTATATATATATATTTTTTATAGAACTTAGAATGGAAAATAAGCTGACGGCCAACCTGATGGAAAGTGGTAACCGTCGCCTATAGACATGAGCAGTGCCATGGACATAACAGAGTATACTGTTTCGCCCATGATACCCCCTATGCGTTGCCATTCCTGAGGATTCAGGTGTACCCTGTAAATTCCCGCCAAGTATATATTATTTTTTAAATATATAATAATATATATATATATAATTTTAATTCATCTAATAATCTATATTTTATATATGAATAATAATTGCTTACTAATATATCGCTCGCCAATCGGTTTGACATAAAATTTTATTTTGAATATTCTTTTTCCTGAGTCGGTGTATTATGTTTTTATTCAAATATTTTTTTTCATGTTTTGCAAAAAAAATGTCTAAGATTATTTAATTTACTCAATTTACTTTCATTTAATAAGTTTACTTTCATTTACTTTCATTTAATTCAACTAATTTAATTTAATGTCATTTAATTTATTTTAATTAATTTCATTTCATAGTAAATAGTTCTATATAAAATGATATTACAAATTTTACTAAACGCATTTTTCTGTTTTTTACCAACAGTGCATCCGAATAATACCTGAAAAAGCGGAAATTAATTACTTTAATCCTAAATTCATGTCGGACGTAGATATGAACGTGACGTCGTTAGCTAAAGGAGTATATGCCATTAATATTCACGGGGACACTAAACAAACATGGGCCAACAACGTTACGGTACAGTACAGGATCTGATAATTATATATTACATTGATCAGGTAGGCCATGGCCTATCTGAAAGAGCAGTAACCGGTATGTTTGCATAAGAGAAAGATGTATTTAAGAATCCATTAATATAAGCCTTTAAAACACCCAAAAATACTCTCTACGGACTTCAAAAAAATATATTTACTTAAAATGTTTATATATTTTTTTTATTATTAAAATCTGAAAATCGTTTCCTAAAAATTATTATCTGATCAATCAGATTCTAATTTTAACACAACCGTTTACTAAAAATAAACAGACAAATTTAAAGGACTTTGAATTAAATTTATTTAAATTAAATTAGATTATGAGTTTAATTAATTTCACTTCAGCTCGACGTCGTCGTGTATGAACTCCAGGGTAAGGAGTACAAGCCGACATTCATCGAGTTTCATTTCCGCCTTTGCGATTTAATAAACGACGATCCACATATTGGGAAGCTTCTATCCAGTGCAGGTTTCACCTGTCCCCTGTTACCGGTAAATTATTTTAATATCTAACAATTTAGTTGTAACTCTGATAAATTTTTAAATTAAGAACTTCTTAAATGGAGTGTCAAAAATCAAAAACGTCTTCAAAAATAGGCGTATGGTATTTTAGTTATTTGATTAATATTATTTTATTTTATTTTACAACCATGAGAATGCGCGCGACAGCTAACACTCAAAAATTGATAACTATTATTATTATCAGAAGTTCTACAACCATTCATATTAGTCACCAATCTCCGACCGCTATTACGTCCACGCACATTTTGCGGCATTTGTTTCATCTGTTTTTGTGTTTAGAGATTAATCATTAATTCTTGTAGGTTTATTTTTATTTAAGTATGTTGTAAATATTTGTTAGTGTTAATATGTATGTATACTCGTATTATTAATTTTTACCCACAATATTCCTTTATATTCGCCATTTCTTCGCACGCTTTTAAGTCAATCAAGAGAAAATCGTCTGAAATTTTAATCCGATCATGTAAATCCTCTAAAATGCTACAACACACACGTATTGTACATGTACACGGCTTACTGAAATGGAAATTTAGTCCGCGGACAAAATGTCCGCCATCCGTTTGAACCGTTTAATAACCAGTATGCGTATGGACCTTAAGAGTGGTACAACGATAGACAAACAATATGCCAATATTAAATAAAATCATTTAACGCCATATCTTATATCTTGCCGTGTAGGTCCCGGCATAGAATAGCCCAATCCTTCCTTTCCCGTGAGTGTCGTAAGAGGCGACTAAGGAAGCTTATGGTGGAACACAGCAGTCTCTTTTAAAACATCATCAAAAGCCAAACTGCGGTTGTCAACCCGCCTGTCAAACGTGGCAACTATTGGCAAAACCCTCTTTGTGGGAAAGGCTTATGTCCAGCAGTGGACATTTAGCGGTTGATATAAAAACAACATAGAACGTAGTATCTAGCCATAGCGGTGTAACTCATTTTTTCTTATTTTCCAGGGAAAGTATTCCTTCAAAAATATAGCCATTCCAAACGACGATATCCCATACCCGCTCCCTTTCCAACGAGCAAAAGGAGTTGGAACAGTGGTACATAATCCTACAGGAGTTGTTATGGCCAACGGTAGCATGTATTTGCACTTCAAATAGTACACTTTCATAAATTGAGAAAAAGTTATTGAATATTAATAAAATCGTGTTAATTATTAAGCAGTTTCAATTCAACTACAGAGCATATTATTAAAAAAAAAAATAAAAAAATAAAGATTTCGACGGTTAAAAGCCTATCTCCTAACACAGTGTAAAGAATTTCAATATTTATTTTAACAAGTTCAGCTACAAGGTATATGAATAAATCTTAATTTATTTTTTATGCAACTCAGAATGGCAAAAAAGCTGACGGTCCACCTGATGGAAAGTGGTAACGTCGCCTATAGACATGAGCAGTACCATGAACATACTCGTAATAGAGTATACTGTTTCGTCCATGATACCCCCTATGTGTTGCCATTCCTGAGAACTAAGGTGTTAACCTGTATACCCTGTAAATTCACTGTCATATCCCATCCTTCAAACCGAAACACAGCCATGCTTCACGGTAGAAACACAAATAGGATAGAGGTGCCCTAACAAACGGCTTTTGTACAAAGTCTCCCTTTGGTGAAACTTAACTTTTCAAATATTAAAATTTATTATTAAATATAAAAATCAACTACTACCATAATTTTTTTACTGCCATAAATAATTACTACCATAATTTTTTTTATGGATGATATTTTTTTTGATTAGTGAAAATGGTATGGTAACTCCGTTGCGCTAACGGGATACGCTGGCGGAGCACCAGTGAAGGGTGATAGATGAGAATGAAAACAGGCCAGTAAGCCCATCATGATGAATTCATCAGGAATTAACCATGATAGTTTTCAGGGGGAACCGCGAGGAGGTCGACCTGGTTGGCTATATTGCTAGTAATGGGATTCTCAGTCTCCATTACTAACAATCCCTTTCTCCCCTTATGGATGATATTGGAATGACATCCCAGCCTGTGCTATCAGTATACGCTGGCGGGACACCAATGAGAAATGATATGTTAGAATGAAAAGGCAGGTCAATTAGTTCACGTGATCGTAAATTTACTTTGAATTAAACACTTTCTAGAAGATTTCTAGAAGGAACCGCGTGGAAGTCGACCTGATAGGGTATATTGCTAGCAAGAGGGCTGTTAAATCCCATTACTAACAATTCCTTTCCCCCCACCATATATGTAGCCAACAATAAATTAATCAATCTGCTAAATTATAAACGTTAATATGTAAGTGTAATAATCCGCGTGAAGGTCGACCTGACCGTTACTAAAAAATCTCAATAAAGCGATGTTATAAGTACACTGAAAGATGATAGACATGTATACACCATGAAACAATATAAACATATACACGTGGGCTTGTTCATTAAAAGATTTCTTTTTAACGTACATACGAGTATCCGTATGTTATGAAGAGCGATGTGAAGGGATCCGTCTGTTTGTTGATGCTATTATATGGATTTTTATGGAGAAATATGATGCAATGTTGGCAGTCATGGGTATTTTTGGAATAATTTTAACTGTTTATCCAGAGCAGATGGTAACAATGTGGCCTTCAAATAAATATTTGTATGTTTGTTTAGATGTTTTTTTTATAGAGTGTGAACATTTATTTATTTATTTGCCAATAATTTAAACATTAAAACTCACAACACCCAACACAATACCACAAAGTGGTAACCGTCTCCTATAAACATGAGCAAAGCATTGCCCATAAAGGGAGTTTTACAAGTAGTTGCCACATTTAGCAGGCGTATTGACAACCGCAATTAGGCTTTTGGACATATTTTAAAAGGGACTCTGCTACCAATCCCTCGACCATTAATTAATTTCCCTCAGTCGTCTCTTACGACACCCACGGGAATCGAATGGGTGATCTATTCAATGCCAAGACTACAAGGAAATATCGATATTTATTATTATTAAAAAAAAAAAATCTAATGAAGAACCTTCTCGATTATGAAGTCGCCTATAAATTACGTTATTATTAAAAAAAAACAGTCGAATTAAGAGCCTCTCAAATTATGAAGTCGCCTATAAATTACGTTATTATTAAAAAAAAAGCAGTCGAATAAAGAGCCTTTCAAATTATGAAGTCGCCTATAAATTACGTTATTATTAAAAAAAAAGCAGTTGAATAAAGAGCCTTTCAAATTATGAAGTCGCCTATAAATTACGTTACATTACACGAAATATTAATTTAAACATGTAGGTATTTGAGACAGTATTTGACATTCATTAGATGAGCAACATTCCCCAAGGCACAGCCTCGAATTAGAAAATAATATTTGAAGAATGTTTCACCATATAAACTTACAGATTGTATGTTATATTAATTTCGTATTACTACCCACATTTTGTGAAGTGATTCAGGAAAAATATACACCTAGTATATATTCGATGTTTGTATTTATTTATAATAAATTACCGTCACATGAGTATAATAAATGAAAATAAATTTAGTAAATTTATTAGATTACTAAAAAAAGCCACAAAATAAGGCCTATGCAAAAGAGTGGTAAGAACCTCTAGTCCTGTCCCAAGAGGCTATCTATTTCTCTCGCTACCATTGCAATGCCTAAAAAGTAATATATATATATGCCAATTTGTTCTATATTTGTCTATGGAGTTATACTATAATTCACATAATAGTAAAGTTATAAATAAATTTTTATGGCTGATTTCAAAGGACAACGAACATGTCGCAGGATGAGTTGGTACTGATGTTTATTTCCCATGCTGTTGTTATGGTCCCATTTTTGGCAATATACCCTGTCAGGTCGACCTTCACGTGGTTCCCCTGGAAACTATCGTGCTGGAATTCAGCACGATGGGCTAACTGATCTGCCTTTTCATTCTCATCTATCATTGCTCACTGGTGCACCGCCAGCGTATACCGTTAGCGCAGGTAGGGTTACCATTTTATTATCATTTATAAAAAAAAAACCAAAACGTGCTCCTATACGGTTCCTCATAGACAGAAGCTTCAAGTTACTTTTTTCGGAGTTTTTTTATGTGATAGAATTCGTAGAAGAACCAAAGCGACCACTGTAACCCTAAGTATAAGCAAGCTGAAGGGGCAATTGACTGGTCATAGCTCGAAGAATGGATAACCAATGGGAATGAAAGGTTCTTGGGTGGAGACCCCGTTCGGGCAAAATTAATATAGGATGACTCCCTACTAGATGGAGAGACGATCTCAGATGTATTACAAAGACAAAATGGATTTAGATGGCTCGGGACCATTCTTATTGTAATCTATAAGGGAGACCTGTATTCAGCAGTAAATAGTTAACGACTAATAGAATGGTAATGATGATGGTGAACAGTTATTTTAATTATGATTTTTTATGAATTTGCTCATTTTTCATTATCAACTAACCTACTTCTTTGACTTATACTACTTCATAGTTTCAATTCACTTTATATGTATTATAAAAATTAATAATAACCCATTTGTTTTCAATAATTGATTTATTAATTGCGTTATATGTAAATTACTGACGAAATATCTACTATTTCAATTTGCTCTTGAAACATAAAACTTGTATACCAAAATCTAATCACAAAATTCCTGAATTATATAGTATTATTTGATAGAGTAAAATCAATTATCTCGATGTACGAGGTGTTATTTTTAGACCAAATGCGACCTGTTGCTCAGCCCGAGTGTTAGGTTGAAAAAAGCTGTGTGACTATTTTCAAATCGAATTTTCTACCTCAACATCTAATATCTACCAAAAACTACCAAAGCGATTAATTTTGATAAATATTCTTCTTACTAACAAAACTCTTTACTTATTGTAACTCTTTGACATTTTGTATGTCAAATATTGATTATAAATACACCATTATTAATGTTATTTGATTTATTTTTCAATTTACCAAGACATACATAATATTATACCAATACAAATTTAACACCAACAATTATCGAGTGTAAACGATAAACAAATTAAATGAAATATATTGTAATTTACACGTTTCTGCGGTATAAAATTAAAATTATATAAATATAAAAAATAACAAAAATATAACAAGTGTTTGATAAGACATCTAGCAACACTATAATTGAGTCAAAAAGTACCAGACAATTTTTATCTACTATTATTAGGCTGGTAAAATTTCAAATTGCTGATTAGTTAATAAGAATTATATTGTATAATTCTGATTTTATTAATATATATGCTAATACTAATTAAAATAAAAACTAATCTAGAAAAATAAGTTAGAAATATAATAGTTGGTACGCTGACAATATCCTATGTGCTAAAAATATCTTCCATTTGTGTTTCGGATTTCATTTGAATCCGTAGCTAGAGCCACTTAAACGTGATTGAAAAATAAACATCAAAATATCGTCAAAAGCTCGGTAACACGAGACGTCATATGGTAAATACGGCACGACCCACGTAATTCGTCTGGGGAGATAATAGGGTGGTGTTGTTAGCTATTTCTACCGTAACCCAGCAATGGTAGTTTATTTTATAGCTGTCATTTATCTACTAACACTCTCACTATATTTCCCTAGTTAGTAAAGAGACACAGATAGTGATGTGCTATGAACGGCTGACTCGAGAACACGAATGACTAATACGTTCCCATGTATGAGAGTTTTCAATAAACAGAGGGCCTACCATGAAATGTTTTCCGAAATTTCGGAGCCAAACAGAAATTTGATGTTAAAATTACATAATACATGCCGTTTGGAAATATTAAAAATGTTAAAATATCGTTCCTTTGGACTTTTATGATAGGATGTATGACGAACGAAATGTTCAACTCCATTTATTGGTCCGATTTTGGTATGAACAAAAACACGAAATTGAGTCCGAAATTTCGGAATTTCATTTCATGATACACCCGCAGGATTCGAATAATCAATAACAGAGGGCCTACTATGAAATGAAATTCCGAAGTTTCGGACTCAATTTCGTGTTCTCGTTTATACATAAATCGGCCCAATAAATGAAGCTTAGCATTGCGTTCGTCATAAATCCTACCATAAAAGTCAAAAGGAATAATATTTTAATATTTTTAAAGTTTATAAAAGGTAAATATTATGTAATTTTAACATCAAATTTGTGTTTCGTTCGGCTCCGAATTTTCGGAAAACACTCGTGGCAGGCCCTCAGATTTCGAGTGCTTACAATATTTAAATGCTAGTCGCGTATTTATTACAAGTTGTTTGATCCTGTTTCTTGCTCGTAACATTTTATTTTTTTTTTCCTTAATTACCAAATGAAAAATATTTCAAACTAACTGAGCATTTATTATGTTCATAAAAATATTAAGTATTAAATAATATTTAGTATAAATACGCCTATGTTACTTAAACTTACGTAATTTGTAACTTCTACAATAATCAAATTTAAGAAATATTTTTATTTGTAAGGATCTGTTCACATAGCGTAAAATGATATTTTCCTTTTCCT